AGGGACCCCAGGGCGCTCTGTCTTCGCTCTGTCCTCTGTGTGTGGCTTTCTCTTGGGTCAAGGTGGCTTTCCCCAGAATCCCCAGAAACAGCCCCCCATATCTCGTTGCCCTGAATTAAGTGGTGGCCTATCATGAGGGGACCTGGGCTGCCATGACTAGCGCAGGTCAGTCCCTGAGGCCTGGCTTCTCTGCAGGGGAGGCGTGGGCTGGTCAGTGGAGAGGGAGCCCCAGCATGCCTGTAGCAGGCTTGGCACCTTTCCCCAGACCTGTTCCAGTGCGGAGGTGCCGTGCGCTTTCTATGTGTCAGATGTCCTCAAAGTGTTGAGATGCTATGTGACCCAGGAGGGGTCAGAGCTTATTGAATTTGCTACCAAAACTCAGGATAATAGCAAAACAATCTTTACTTTTATTTTTAATACATTATGTGTATCAAAAATACTCAAGGCTGTGGTGAGCAATGATGGTGCCACTGCACTTCAACCTGGGATACAGAGTGAGACTTGACTCAAAAATAATGTACACCTTGCAAATTTCAGACCTTTTCACTTGAGAACCTTGAAATTAACAGTGATTCAGCTTAGACTTTCCATGGTTTTAAATTTTTTAAGTTACCAATGAAAGGTACAGTCGGCAAGTGCTGTTAGGAACTGGGCACTTGGAGTTACTCATTTTGCATTTAGGAGAGTTCTGAGAACTGTGACTTAAATTTCATGTTGCTCATTAACCCTGGCCCCAGCAAGTGCATATTCTTACTCCAGTCTTGGTTTTAGTGATCTGTAAATGCATGAATGTTAGCAGATTTTAGAGTATGTCGACCAGCTTTGATCCCATCTGGAAAATTAGACTTGCTTTGGAGACCCACAGCACCAGGGTTCCCTGGAAGAGAGATTCAGCACAGACCAGATCCATCTTGTATGCAAGACATGAAAGTTCAACTGCTGTGGGATAGAAATGTGACGACATGTTTCACTATCATGCACTCACAGCCCAGGTTAGTCACCAACATGCCAAGGCGTGGGGCCGATGGGGCAGGTGTACCCGCTGACTCATGTCCATTGGCCTTCAGCCGGACAAGAGAGGAGGTGGCGGTCCAGCAGGAGACAGTAGCATTTCTCTAAGGAGAAGCACCTTCGTACCCGTTAGTTTTAGGTGACTCATGCAGAGTCTTTTGTTTTGAAGCCAGAAGGTGTTCTGTTGGTATTTTTAGTCTAACTCTCTGAGTCAGTCCATTCAAAAGGTACTGGCGCCAGCTTGGCACGCTCTGCGTAGTCATACTCTGTTAGTGTCTGTGTCAGAGGGCACAGTGAACAGTTGCTTAGTCACCAGGCCCAGCTTTTATCCTCGTGGACACTTTGTTTAATCTGAGAAAGTATGTTCAGGATTGGCAACCCCAGCATTTTTTTAAATAGAAGTACATCGTAGATGACAAGCTCTTGTACCTAAAACTTGCTAATGGTTAGATTTGTCAACTTAGATCTGGCAAAAAGAAAATAGGCTTGTGTTTTAACTTTGTAAAGGGTGTGAAAATGTAATGTGCCCTCAGTTATCTATTTGTGTGCTCTACATATATGGGCTGTGGAATGAGAGAAGAGTTTCAGATGAGCAGTTGTAGGCAAGGCCACCGGACTAAACATGGCCCTTGGAGTTGCTCCGCCATTGAGCTGCGTCGGGCCCGAGGCCTTTGCCGTGGGGCAGGCTCGTTCTGCCGTCTGATATGGTCTGGCAGCTGCAGAGCTCCTTTCGGGCTCCGTCTCTCAAGCAGTCGGATGCGTTCGGATCTGGCTCCCTCCCTTCCCGGGGAGTCAGGCCCTTCGGGCGGTGCGGAGACACCCCCTTCTGGCATGACGTCATAAGCCGGTCGTAGACCTTGACTTCTTTTGGCTCCTGGACCATGAACCACATCTGGCAGGCACTGCCTGGAAAGTGGTGTGGACGGCGTGTTTAGGCCCAGTTTCCCCACATACCATGCCGTGTCAGTGGCCTGTAGGCGCCTCGGCTGGAGCCCAACCTGTAAACACCGTGGCCTTGTAATAACGAGCCCTGGCATTTAGGGAGCCCGACTGTGTGCAGTTTCCAGAGACAGGACCTGAGCACATGGCCGAGCGGGATCTGTGCCAGACAGCTGCCCCACGGCCCCTGCCCTGCCCTCGCTGAAGAAGCTTCTTCAGGGCTACCACCTCTGTCTCGGAATTTGCTGCTGACATACTAAACATCGTAATCCCATGAACACACGTGGGACAGACATGCCCACCCTAACCCTAGGGTGTCGAGAGGAAGGACACAAGCAAGGGCGGATTAGTATCTTGTTGCTACTAGTGAGAAACGTCTCTTAGCATCTTGATACCAGTAGGTAAAGCTGCGTGGCTATATTTGACTCACAAGGATTAGGAGCCCCGTGAGAGCAAACCTGCTCTAAGCTTGAGGGATGAGGTGTGAGTGGCGCAGGAAGACTGAGCGGGGGTGGTGCCTGGGGAATGAGGCCGGTCAGGGCTGTCGTGAACCATGAGTGGGTGCAGACCAGGGACCCTGGCAGAGAGGGAGGGAATGGGCAGAGGCGGAGGCAGGAATATTGATTGCAGAGGGGCAGTCGAGATCAAGGAAGTGGGAACGTCATTCTGAATCAGGCTCATGGGCGTGACAAGTGGCAGGACACCAGGCCATCTCATCTTGAGGTGGGCGGCACTGAAGGAAGGCTGCCGGACCGAGGACTGCGGTGGTGGCTGGCAGCTCTGCCGGGGGGAGGTGCCCCAGGACATTAGGTCAGCCCATGCCATCCAGGAGGAGCCCATCTCTCGTGAGGTGGGGTGGTAACCAGCGCTCCCAGGACCAGAGGCTGCTTCACTTTCAGTGCAGGTGACATCCCGGTGAGACTCCTTTCACCCTCTTGGGGCTGTGTCCTGCCCATGCTCAGGTCTTCCTCCTGGATGCTTGTGCATCTGAAGACACCAGGCACGCGGTCGGCAGCCCTTTCTCAGGGGGTGGAGTGATGGCTCACAAAGTTTTCCCGTGGCTTCTGACCACGGGGCCACTTCTGTCCTGGTGCCAGGTGGTGCTGGCCCAGTCTGTGTTCAGGTGCGGCTCCCCAAAGTGCCCACCATGTGCCTTTAAGCTGCACCTCCTGCACTCCCGGACTTCCGTGAACACTACAGGTCTTGACGTGCTGGCGTGGGCGTTTCCATCCATTACAACACAGCTCTTACTAAGCGCTGGCTGTTTTGTGAGACAGCCAGGAAACTGAGTTGACCCAGGAATGCTACCCAGCCGGTTCAGTGGAAAGGGTGGGCGTGGCGGGTTGAGTGGGGAGTGGCCTCGTGGTGGTGGGTGGTGGGTGGTGGGTGGTGCTTTGGCAGAGGGAAATGGATACGTCCTCGATGCACCAGGCAGACCATGCCTCGATCTAGAACATCTGTCATCCGGAAGGCTTCCTTAGGCTCCTATCCGGGCAGTCCCTGCCCCCACAGCTGCCACCACTCTGACGCCTGTCCCCACGGGTTGGCTTTGTCAGCATCACACGCTATTGTGAAAATTCAGTCTTCCTTAAAGTCTCCCAGCGAGGATCGCGTGGTGTGAAAGAAAGCACTCAGAGGCTTGGCACCAACAAGCTGTGTGCCGTTGGGCAAAACATCAGCCTTCTCTGGACCTATGCGGGTTCTGTGGAGTCACCCCGGACCCCCCATCTCACCCTCCCTGCGTTTCTAGTCTCCAAGTGCCCCATCTCCTCATTCCCGGCTTTGCTCTTACCCGCTCTCCCACTTGGGTTCCATGGGTTCCTCCTTGTGGCTCTTGGACACGTCCTCTCCTAGGCCCCTGTGGGATGACTCTCCCTGCCATCTTGCCCATGCCCTCTCCAGACTGGTCCTAGCCAGTCCCTGCCCAGGGTGGTCTTCCCTCAAAGCCACATTCGTGCCCTTCTGGTCAGAATCCACACGTGGCTCCCACCACTTAGGATGCATCTCTGCCACCTGTGGGACTGCGTTCAGACCCTGAAGTGTGTCGCCCAGGCCAGCACCACGTGCCCCACCCACCCTCAGAGCCCGTCCCCATGTTCCTTCTGCTGGGACCTGCACTCTGCGTGCCCGGCGCCCTTGCCACCCTCACCAGCCCCTTGTACATCCCCAAGGGGTCGTGTTGGGCATGGCCATGCCTGTCTCCCCGATTGTGCTGGAACATCTTGGGTGAGGGTCGGGACCGTGTTCTGCTCAACTCTGTCTGCAGCACCTGGCAGACTGCCATCAGATTTGCTGAAACCCTTAACCCTGGGTTCAATTGTTAAGGACGACAGTACACCCGTTCAGAGTCTTACTCGGAATTTGAGTTTATCTATCAATCTTTAGAGACAGTCTCGCTTTGTTGCCCAGGCCAGCCTCAAATTCCTGGCCTCAAGTGATCCTTCCACCTTGGTTCCCAAGTAGTTGGGCTACAGGCATGACTCAAGTTGGTATGTTTTTAAAAATTAAAAATGGTCAGGCTGGTGGCTCATGCCTGTAATCCCAGTGCTTTGGGTGTGGATTAGCTGAGCATAGTGGCACTCACCTGTAGCTCCAGCTACTTGGAAGGCCAAGGCTGAAATATCCTGAACCCACAAAGTCGAGGCGGTGGTGAGCTGTGACCATACCACTGCACTCCAGCCTGGGTGACAGAGTGAGACCCTGACTCAAAAAACCAGAAAACAATATGGAAGTTTCCAGGTGTTTCTGGTCACCTAAGTCTGACCCTGATTCTTTCCTTTTAGCAGCTGTCGGGACATCGGTAATGGTGAGAAGGGTCCGTTTGTGTGTCTGTTTGGCCAGCCGGGTACAGTAACAGGCGGGATAGAGTCAGCGGTCCTGTTGGTGTGAACCAAATCCGCTGCAGAGCTGGCCCAGGGGACTTGTGCACTCGGGTCTCCGATGGCAGCTCGCAGCTTTCCGAAGGGAGGGAGAGGCACTGGCGCTGGCTGGTGTGCGCCGTCCCGCCCCGCCACCACTCCCACGCTCACTGTGCTGTCGTCTCCCCCTAGGTGGCAACCTGGACGCCGTGCATGACATCACCGTGGCCTACCCACACAATGTGCCCCAGTCAGAGCGGCACCTGCTGCAGGGCGACTTCCCCGCTGAGATCCACTTCCACGTGCGCCGCTACCCAGTGGCCACGCTGCCCGCCTCCGAGGAGGGGCTGCGGCTGTGGTGCCGCCAGCGCTGGGCGGAGAAGGAGGGGCGACTGCGCGCCTTCTACCAGGGCCCGCGGAGCTTTGGGCGCGCTGGGGCTGGGGTGGCTGCCGTGCCGCCGTGCAAGTCAGAGCTGCGCGTGCTGCTGCTCAAGGCACTGTCCCTGCTCTACTGGACGCTGTTCAGCCCGGCCATGTGCCTGCTGCTCTACGGCTGCCGGCTGGCGCGCTGGTACTTCGTGGCCGCCGTGCTGGTGCTGGTGCTGCAGGAGCGGCTGTTCGGCGGCCTGGAGGTCATTGAGCTGGCGTGCCACCGCCTCCTGCGCCGGCAGCCGCAGCTGGCTGCCAAGAAGAGCCAGTGACGAGGCACCCGAGCCGCTGCCGCTGCGCAGAGCCCCGAGCCCGTGCCGTTGCATGACCGCCTCCCGGGCTTCCTGCTCCCCTTGTCATCTGTTGGAGACGTTTTGCACATGACTTGGTGGGGAAATGTTGCTACAGATGCGGTTTCTTTAAGCCTCTGAATGTAATTTTAATGCTGTGTACGTTGCAGGGAGCGATCCCTGTGAAATCACTCCGGCCAGAATATTACTGCATAATCGTCAGGCTGTTGGCAGGTGAGGGACACACACTCTCCATGAGGCCCACTCCTGTTTTCTGGCAGGCTCTGCAGACCACGGGCAGGTCTGGAACTCGTGGGCACAGCCTGGATCTCATGCTGCCACCAACTGCCCGGCCACCTTGGTGCGGTGAGCACTGTCCCACCAGGTGCCCAGGAGGCGTGCCCAGGTTCCCTTCTGGGGTGCTCCTTCCACACTCGTCAGACCCAACTCGTCCATCCTTGAGATCAGGAACCAGAACTCCCTTGTCTCCAAACTGATCAAATGCTCCGCCAGGAAGCCCTCTGTGATCCATCAAACCTTTTCCCGACCAACACGTCAGAGACGCCCTGTGCCCTTTTCTCGTGGAAGTCAGGCCTGGCCGTGTCTCAGGGAACACCCGCTGGCTCTCCGCTTGGAAGCCTCGTCTGGAATTGCAAAAGAAAGGAGATAACAGAGTTCATCTCCTTCCCTCCCACTCGGTCTTGCATGTGGCTTGCTGGCAGATGCAGCTTTTTCTGTGTTAAAATAGTGTCCATGGAGTCACACACTCTTACAGGAAGGCTTAGCAGAACATTCTGGATTGCATGAAGCTACACAGTCTTACAGGAAGGCTTAGCAGAACGTTCTGGATTGCCTTGGAAGGCTGTCTTAGGAGATACCGTTCTACAGCCTGCCAATACAGAAAGGTTGGGCGTTCCACATATGCATGGGTGTTGAACGTCTGCTATTCACACAGACAGGGCAGTGTTGCTTTATTCTAAACTCGTCAGCCCTTAGAATCGTGACAAATTCTACTCCTAAAACCAGAATGAAAATGCAAAAATGAAGTTTTTAATGACAGCAAGTGATCTCTCCCTTCTTCCCAGCTGGGAGATTCCTCTTTAGTGGTAAAACTTAAACCCACTTTGACCAGTTTGCCTGAATATGCTCGTCATTTGGAGTCCGTGGAAGCCCCACATGCCAGCAGCACAGGCCCCCTCCGAGGTGGACATGTGTGGCTGTCCTTCCACTCTACTGAGCCATGCGCTCCTTCCGTCACATGAGAGGATGCTGGGCAGCTGCAGAACACATGAGGCAGTTGGAAGCCTTGAACCTTGAATCTGGCATATCTACCTGCTGGCTGCCACCTGGACTCCCCCCTCCATGGCCATGCACGGGTGTGTAGTCTTCGGGCTCCAGGGCCTTCTCTTAAATTCCAGCTTATCTCTGCTCCTCGGCGACTTGCCCGATGGCATCCTGCACCACGTGAAAGGTGGACACTGGGCCACACTCACCGAGCAGGTCTTGAGAAAGCCTGGCTGGGGCTGAGCACCATGGACAGGTTGCTGATTGAAAGTGTGTTCGCTGGTGCCTCTGCGAAACACGCGACTGGGCTTAGCTGCATCCCCAAAGCTGCTGCGGAACCTGCTGGGAGCTGCTAGTTCGTTTCTGTGTCATCTGCTCCAAGCCCAGCTGCTGGATGCCGTGGTTTTAAGGCTCTTTTTTTATTAAAAAAAAAACAACACTTTTCCCCCTTTAATGAAAGGTGCTTCCCATCTAAGTTTCTCTGCGCCTTTTTTCGTTGTATTTGGAAACCAATCAGGATGGCGCTGTCCTGGTAAAAGGATCACTGTGCGTTCTGCCCCAGGGTGCTTGGATGGACTGTCCCGTCCCATGCGTTCGGCCATTGCCAAGGCTTGGCCTCCCTGACTGCAGTCCTGGAACTGTCTGGAAACGTTCATGGACAGAGTTTTTTGTTTGTTTGTTTGTTTTTTAGTATTTTCTTCTTTTGATTATAGAGAACATGTTTAAGGTAAAATACAAACTTTATTTTACCTACCCCAAATTCGCAATTATAAAGCACCAACACAGGGAAGTGGACATTGTGCTTGCTTTAAGAATTAGAAATAGGAACTCAAGAGAATGAAGCCCTGTTTTTCGTTCTTTTGCAATAAGGCTTTCTAAGACAATTGTAATTAATTGGTGTTTCCTCCACATTTATCTGTGTTAAAGCTCTTTTCTTTGGTTTAGAAAACATTAAAGAACTGTACAGTTAGTGATTTGGAGATTAGAAGTTCTTAAAGTCGGCACTGAAATGTCAAGAACAAACTAATTCTGCTTCAGTGACTGCTTGGCTTCACGAGTGCCCTTTACACACCGGCCTGCCTACCTGACCCACGCAGCTGCCTGTCTCTGTGCAGGACCACAGTTCCTGCTGGGCCCTTCCGTCCCCTGGAGGCAGCTCGGTGCACTCGGACGTGTTTACAGGGCTGTATGTCCAGTGATTGAATTTGCCGTCCTGGAAGGTGTTGAAGTATGTGTGGCTTATGTATCCGAACCATTCTTCTTGCAGTGTGACGACAGGGACGGCGGTGAGGTCACAAGTTCCTACCCCAGACTTCGTTGATAAAGCAAGCCAATGTGACTTTAGAACTCACTAGACCTTGGTAAAAGACTCGGAATAAATGATTTTAGAAAGCACCCATAATTTAATCCTTGTCATAAAATCCTTCCCTGTGTTTATGCTGTTAAAACTCAGATTAGAGGGGACTCTCCACTTCCACTCGAGTCACTTTGAAGTCAGCTGCCTCGGCAGCATCCGTCAGCCATCTCTGGCAGCCGAGACCGAGTTCTGCAGAAGGAGACACACTTGCGCCTGGCCCGGCCTTCAGCCCCGGCTGACTGCGATGCCTTGTGCACTCCATGTTAAAAACTCGAATGGGGGAGCCTTGGGTGTACAGTTGTTTACATTTCTTTATAGAGATAATGTGTTTCCAGTGCCTTAGTTAGGGTCCCTTTCTTGTTCTTATTCCAGGAATACTGCAGTGTGTTCCTTAGCTCAAGCCTCCTTTCGCTACTCGCCAGGGAGGAAGTGGCCCCTGGACACTGGCCACTGAGCTGACGGTGTCGCGGCATGTGAAGAGAGCTGGCTGTCGAGACTGTGGCCACGCTGGCGCTGCAGTCCGTGCCGCAGCGAGCTTCAGATTACACGTGGCCCAAAGCCATCTTGTACCTGCATCCCATTTTATTTCAGAAGAGAATCTTGGTTCGGGTTAATCTTTCTTTTAAAAGATCATTCTGTGCAGAACACTGAGTTTTAAAACAACTTGCAGAATGGCCTTGGTTTTCGGTGTCCACTGGTATGTTTGTGAGTTGAATTGTCTGTAACATACATCCCAGAATAAAGCTGAGAGGATCAAGTCGTCTACATACGTGTGACGTTTCTGTGTTTCAGCGTAAGGAAGATGCTGGCCATGGTGCTGCTTGTGCTGTGGGGGAGCCAGGGTGGGGTTTCTTGCAGCACCTGCCCAACTGTAGTGAGGGAGACTGGCCAGGCAGGCCTTTTGTTTGCAGATATTGAAGCAGTCTAAGCAAGGGAAGCATGTCCCACCTCCGCGTTGAAAAGTCCAGAGGCCCCTGGGTGAGTCCCCCAGTGAACTCGACTTTCCTTTGTCTCAACACAATCCTGCTGCCAAGAACTGCTCAGTCACCGCACGAGTCTAGGAGCTTATGTGACACCAGCCCCGCCACTCTCAGCCAGGCCACTGTCAGGGAGCGTAGACCGTGAAAGGGCCGCTGGGACAGAGCCTGCAAGTGTGTAGCCGTGTCTCGGCACACAGACACGACACGTGCAGCCTCCTCCTGCGACATGCGCAGCCTCCTCCCGTGGGCCTTGCAGGGAGCGCTGTGTGGGCCCTCGCGCCCAGGGACCCCATGCTGGGCCCTGAGGAGGGGCCCGCAGGACGGAAGCGTGGCCTGGCGCAGGGCTTGTGCTCCTGTGAGCCGCAGGAAGGGGCGAGCAAGGGCTCGTGCTGGCCCTCCGAGGGTGAGTCCCCAGTGAGGGTCCTCGGGGGCGGCTAGCAGGCCCTGGGGCGGGTGTGGGAGCTAAGCTACCTGTGCAGTGCACACTGAGTTCCAGGATGTTTTGGCATGGCCAAGGACACCGCTGGGCTCTCTGCCTGCCGGGCTGTCCCGCCTGCCGGGCTGCGTGGGAGCAGGATGCCAGCGGACCGCAGCCCAGCTTCCTCTCAAGGTCAGGGTCAGTGGGAAAGGACGAGGGAGGGAGGCCTCCTGCTCCCCAGTGCTCAGCACCCCCAAGCCATCCCCAGTGCTCATCCAGTGGCTTGCCTGGGTGGGTGTGTGTCACATCCTGGGGTCACTATCCTGTCCCCCTCCTGGGCCACATGGACTGGGGAGGGATGAATTTTAAGACCAAAAGTAGAGACTTGTGAAGGGTGGGAGGCACTGGGCCGGATGCCGAGTGACCACAGATGTCCCCACAACTGCCAACCCTCCAGGGCTCGAGGGGGTCTCATCCAGAGTGGATGAGAGACAGAAGATGGTAGCCTCTCCCTCAACCCCGGGGCACCTGGGAGCCTGGGCCTCCTGCAGCCGTGTTGGGACAGTCTCATCAGTGGTCAGCCCATCTGCATTGCTCATGACCTCCACAGGCCCAGCCTAGCCTGGCACCCAGGTGGCCCCTTCCATGGGAGGGTTGCAAGAAGCTCAGAGTCCTCTCCCAGGGCTGCTTTCTGGAGCTCTGATCCTATGGCATGACTCCTTCCTCCCTCTCCTGCAGGACACTCCAGTCGCCCACAACCCCCTCTGTAGGCCAGCTCTCCCTAGTGTTCTGCACACACACCCATTGCAGTGGGCCTGGGCAAGTCTGGGGACATCCGGCCAGCCCTTCCTCCCCTGGCCGTTCCCAGTGCGTGGATCCATGGGTCGTTCCACCACGCCAGCTTCCTCTTGAACCTCCCTTCCCAAGTCTACATGCCTCCTGACTGCTGGACCACTCAGACTCCAGCCTTGCCCAGTGCCTGCCCAGCTGGACCTGGCTCCCCTGTGTGAGCCCTCGTGTCTGCATAGCAGGTGGCCCAGGCCTCCCAGTGCCCCCTTGCCCTTTCCTGACTTGGCCCCGCCCCTCAGTCTTCCACGTCTAGTCCAATCCCACTTTCCTCTGATGCTTTTCCCGATCGATCTAGTTCAAAATGCCTTTCTCCTCTTGGCGTAGGGAATGTGTCTCTGCAACTCCCACTTGACTGCATGACAGACGATCTTGTGTTCCAGCTATTTTTCAGTCTTATCACCTTGGCTGTATTATAAGCTTCTGGAAAGCCAAGATAAGGGTAGCTAATATTTCTCTTTTCCCAAAGAGTGTTCAGCGCAACCATTCTTTCTGCACAATAAATTCTTAATGGTGATTCCTTGAAGTCATCAGAAAGTATCCCGTTCCAAATGAAAGCTGAGAGCAGAAGTTTGCAAGTTTAAAGTGAAACATAATAATCATTGAGGTGCAAGCCAGTCTCCTGCTGGAAGATAAGTATTAACAGATTTTTTTGGCCAAGAATAAAATCATTTTTGATTGGCGACATGATTCACCAAAGCATGCTGTAGCTGAACTCTTTTTTTTTTTTTTTTTTGAGTTGGAGTCTCACTCTGTCGCCCAGACTGGAGTGCGGTGGCTGCTCCCGGCCACCACAGCCTCGACCTGCTGGGCTCCGGCGATCCTTCCGCCTCAGCCTTCCGAGTAGCCAGAATTACAGGCATGCGCTACCACGCCCGGCTGATTTTTTTATTTATTGTAGAGATGAGGTCTCGCTGCCCAGGCGGGTCTCGAACCCGCGGGCTCAGGCAATCCACTCACCTCAGCCTCCCAAAGGCACGGGATTACAGGCTGAGCCACCGAGCCTGGCTGTAGCTGAACTCTTAAAGGTGGCAATGCTGGCTCAGCACGAGCATCCCCAAGGAGCCCTGCTCAGGCACCTGGATGAGACTCAGCCAGTGTCTCACATCAGGGGGACACACG